TGGGAGGCTCCCTTTAGATTCAAAGACACAAATATGTTGAAGGTAAAAGAATGGAAAAAGATACTTGATACCAAAAGAGACTGGATCGCTATATTAACATCACACAAAATAGACTTTTACAGAATTGTTAATAGAGACAAAAAAGAACATTAAATAATGTAAAAGGATGAATTTATCAAGGAGATACAACAATTATGAATGCATACACATTATTACAATACTAGCCGTGGAAAGACATTAAGGAATAAAGGTTTAAAAAAAGTCACTACAGAGTCCAGAAGCTTTTCTAAGCAGCATCATTTTTGTCAGCCCTGCTTTGCACCCTCTAATTTCATTCCTCTTATCCATTCTCTCCCAAACTGTATGCAGAAGCTTAATTTTGGATGAAGAAAAAAATGTTGGCCCAAGAGGACAGGAAAGAGCCCACTTTCTCTGGTCCTTCTTTCATGAAGGACCAAGAGCAAATATATCTGTTTTTTCACCTGTTTCATAGCCAAAAAAGGGGTTTTAGTCCACTCATTAGACCTCTCCAGAAAGGCAATCTGTCAAGTTAGTCCTCATTGTCCATCAATTAGAAATATTCATTGAGCGTTTACACATACACAGCACTACTTCAGATGGTGGGAGAGGAGGCCCTGCCGCTGAGATCGTGGACCGTGTCCTCCAGATTTGCTGTAACTGCACAAGGTATCAAGAACCAATGTGAATGGTGTGTTGGGGCTGTCATTCGATGGAAGTGGAAATGGTCTAAAACGGTCTCGTAGCTGAGGTGGAGAGGGAGGATCACGGATTGATGAAATGGAGAACAGACTGCTGAGTTTGCCGGGAAGGATTTATTTTTCAGGAGCTTTACTAAGTCCTACCGAATCATGCCTGGAAGGTCTGGGAAATGTACAGTCACAATATTCAGGGGAGTCCTCCTTGAGGTCAAGGTTTGAGAATCCAGGTGACATGCTAAGAGGCTTACCAATACTCACCTGGAGGGTGGATAAATCACTGAACACTGGCCCTTCCTGACAGCCACCTGTCAGCAAGGCAGTCATGCACCCCAGACAGCATACACACGTGCACGCATGTTCCCTTCCCCCACCCACAGGGCCAGCCTGCCTGTTCAAGAGGTTCCTGGGAGGCTGCAAGGGAATCTGGGGTCATGTTGCACCAAATAACTATCCCCTGAGAGATCCTTCTGGAAGACCTATTTACTCCTTCAATCAATTAGGACCGCGGTTAGTTCCCTGGGATTCCTTAGCCTGCACTCAGGGGAAGAAGCATTGCTCACGCTGAACAGCAGTGGCTTTGAGCAGCTGCAAACCCATGACCATTGCACAACCACTAACGGACCACAGTGCCTTTGCTAAATAAGTTTAGCTGTGACCTCAGCCTACTTCTCAATTGTCTCCACGTAGCCACCACCCCTAAACCAGGACTGGAAGAGTGAAATGGAATCCATTTGCTGTCCTGGAATGGAATCTAGCTCACGGGTTTTAAGGGAGATCCTTCTCTAAGCCCGTAAGTGGCTTTTAAACTTCTGGCACTTGGACAAGTTTAAGCTTTTGTGAACACAAACCTCCTGGGCTAAAGACCAGTTCCAAGAATTTTAAGTTGACTGGAACTGGCATCATTTGGGACAGTACTACCAATATTCATACATTTGATATCTAATACATACACATTTATCACGTGTTCCATAAGCATAAAACTTCAGTAACTTCTCAAAATCCACACCGAGTATTATGATTTCTT